GAGACCTCTTGGATTGTGAACCAAGAACCTGAGCATGGAAATACACATATTAGTGTAGCTCCTTGCAAGTTTATCTTTGAATTTAGTTTAATTACAGATTAGGACTTGTATTTCGATGGTTGGTTGGCTACTTAGTCCGTAAGTTTTGACAAATTTTGATTATGACCATTGATTTGTTAAGAAGATGCTTATCTTCTTGATAAAATAGAGAGGTATTTACACATGATGTAAGTTTAAGTAATGATCAATTGTGTAAAACCACAAGTTATCTTGTCTCTCAATATGTCAACATTCTTTATTTATTGAGTCAAGTAGTGTAATCGCTTAAGCCCATTGTTGATAGATATTGTCATTTTTAGGCTTTCGCTCAAGGTTTTAAAATGTGCAAGAATTTTTCAAACACATAATAGGGAGAAGTACCCTTATAGACCCTTACAAGGAATGTTTCGTAAGACGAGTTCATTCTCCAACTAATGTAGGGTTTCACAATCTATCCCTTGGAGGCCCAATGTCCTCGTTGGCACATTGTTCGGTGTCTGGCTCTGATACCATTTGTAACAACCCAAAGTCTACTTCTTGTAGATATTGTCCTCTTTGAAGCTTTCCTCAGGGTTTTAAAATGTTGTCTCTGAGGAGAGATTTTCACACCTTCATAAAGAATATTTCGTTCTTCTCACCAAAGAATATGGGACCTCGAGTAGGGAAAATAATGGACTAACCATGAGTGCTCAAGTTAACCTTCATGAAATGGTTATATTTCTCAAACAAATGTTATGATACAAAAAATCTCATTCCCCTATAGGAGTTGAATCTGTCCGTGTTAAGAGTTCTACAGGTACAGATGATGAAAGAAAACTGATTCAAAGAACAAGCTTTGCCCTCTCATTCTCTTCCTCTTACAAGTGAGTTGTAAATAAATTAACATATTGTAATTGAAAGGGCAAGAGCTTCTATCTATGAAGGTTTTTTCTTTCCTCCACTTTTTGAGAGGCGTTTCAGCACCTGTGGTCGAGTTCTCATTCCCCTGTAAGACGAACACGATCGTCAAATCAAAGTTGAAGCTTTTATGAACATACAAATGAAGGTGGGTGAAGGAAAGATACCTCTTATACAAGTAAATGAAGACATAGAAAAACAGCACAAAAATGACTGTCAAAACTGAAATAACAATGTAGAACACACTCGTCCTAACCTGCAAACAAACAGAAGAATGCATTTGACAAAATGAGAAGTACAAAAAAAGGAATACATACATGCATTACACGTTCATCCCCTCGAAATCTTATTCGAACAGAAATGATGTATTCATAAAATATCGTCTGAATTGTTTTCCTGTCGACTGTTTGAATATGGACGGACAGATGAACTTGATTTGAATAAATTGACGAATGTGATGTGAAACACAAACTTAAGATGATTTGATCAAACAATTCCTACTTCACATTATATGCATTATAGTTCATTGCCAACACAAAGGCATGTTGATATTATGATATAATATCTTGAGGGTCAACCAAAATCACAGAGAAAACAATGGCATATCTTGAAGATTGCTCGGCATCATGTACCATAAGAAATTGATTGAAAGGAGCTCAACATGTCTACATACATACACACACATATATACAATGGAACAACTTACTTGTCGACCTCTCGAGAAAGGTTTTGGCTTTCCGCTACATGTGTGTGCATCACAGAACTGACGTAAGAAGAATTCTACCATTTGAATTACACGAAAAGTGTTTCATTAGATAGATGATAGAAGTAGTGAAAGTTGTCAAATGAGTGAAGGAAGAATTCTGAAGCTACCGTGAAGATGGCTGGCCGAGGCACCGTCATCGATAGGAAAACAACTGTCAGCAAGACCCTGCGATGAATTAACAATTGTGTGGTGAATGATGAGGAAATGATGAAGAAATCTGCAAGAAATCTTCTGATGTCACCTCACACATGTGTTTATTTCTTGCAGCAGCAGCAGGATTGCATTTACTTTTCTGTGATATTGAATCTATCACACGGTCACAGTGCAATGCACCACAAAAATCTGCCAAGCACTTGCTTCGACTCTGGAATAAACGAGCAAGATAATTGAAGCGCCATATCAGCTAAAACTGAAGCAAACAACGCTTTTTCTAATTTCTAAGAGATATGCTCCTGAAGTACAAGACAGACAGGACCATGCAAACTATCTAATATCTAGAAAGAAGCCTAAATATATTTTTTTAAGTAAAACAAATGTGGAGGTGGGGATGTGAACCTTCAGTCTCACAGGAAGAAGCAAAACGCTGAGATATGTTCATGTTGGCAAGAAGCTTAGACATATAGTAACTTGAGCCTCATGTTATATCTACTTGTCCAAGATAATTGACTAGATGGCAATATAATCCACAGTGAACTAATGGAAGCCCACGATTTAATAGAAAAGTTCTACGATCATCGCTACTGTTGGAAGTTGAATCATGAATGGAAACTTACCACATTGAGTAAATCATAGTGTCTATTGGCAAAGTGCTGATCGAGATACTTTTCCTCGTAGAATTTCTTTTTACAATATCCACACTTCCAGTCATTAAAATCTAGATGGCTCTTGTGCTGTTCTTGATCTCTGAACATGTCATTATCGGGGTGAAGCCTACACTTGGTAGAAATCTTGTATCGCTTTTTATCCACAAATGGCATTAGATACTGCATCGAGATAAAAACGTTCGAATCTAGCTTAACAAAGTATCGTATCATTCATACCAAGCATGTCAACCAATCAACTATGAAATACAAAGAAACACCATTCGAGTGTTGAATGAATACCTCCTCAATTATTTTCCACGCAGCCCTACTCCTTTCTCTGGAGCAATGCACCTCATGAGCATTGTTCAAATCCTGCTTCGGAGTGCTGAACATCAATTCCAAAGCCCAACAAATTATCATCATCATAACGAAAGTGAGCCTAGCTTAATTAGCATGTGTTACCTTACTCGAGGTCAAAGATTTAAACCCTCTACCTCATTTGTTGTACTAAGAAAAGGAACATAGGTGATCATAAAGAAACAAAATATTACCTCTCGGTGGCTGAATCTTTAGAACCCTAGGGAAAAATAACAACAAAGAAGAAGGTCATACATAGAATGATGTTCATCCAGTGATTAATTGCAATTTACACAACAATTAAGAAAGACAATTCCAGTTGAACAGAACATAAGAGATCGAAAATATAACGAACGGTTCAGAAAACTTCAAATAGTTAGATTCCCAGATAAATTTATAGAAATCCATCAACAAATTTCCATTGGATTTCAATGCCGAAATATCGAAACATTCTACAGCAAATTATCAGGTTAAATCAAACGCTAGAGCATTTAAATGAATCACTAATGAACAGAATATTTCAATCATCGTTTTATACGAAATCAATCAACGACGTTACGCTACAAGACGAATTAATGGAGAACCATCTCACAAAATTTGAATCTAACAGAGACAGTTCCAATTCATAGACGAAAATACGTACCTGATTCAATGATTGAAGAGGAAGAGTAGAAGAAACTCCGGGCGGCCGCGAATAAAGAAGAAGGGAGAGGACGAGAAGTGCAACCCATAAGGATCGCCTTCCCATTGTCGATGAAATTGAACCTCCACAAGCGGAATTGAAAGCAAGAGGAAACTCTAGAAAAACTACGAAGACGGTGAGGGCCACCTCATAATTTGGGGAAAATATGAGCAAATTTTATATACTTTTTATTCTCTTTGGATTAAAATGTTAAAAAGTGTAAAAAATAAAATTTTAATTTATATTTTAGTCCCTAAGGTCACCACCTCTCATGTGCATGTAGCCAAAAGTTCTCAAACTCTACACGTTTTTCTTATATTTTGTTCCGATCGACAATAATCGCAACACCGCTGCTCGTGGATTTATTCATCACGGATATCGTCGACGTGACCTAACGCGCAACACAAGGTTCTGTGAAAAGGTTGTTGAGGGAAACGATGAATGCACGAGTTATTCCGAGAGATCAGCCCTATGCACCTAGGTGAAGCATAGAGATCCATTTTAGCTTGTTAATTTTTGTTTCGCGCTTTGCCTCCCGTGCACCCACTTTAGGTCAGGGCGATTACAATGATGTCGGTGTGTTTTTAGCTCTGGAACCCTTGACTCGTGTCCCTTCCATTTGGCCTTTCTAATAAAAGTCGTAGCTTGTTTGTTAAATGAGCCTCCACTTTGAAAATTATTGACAAGGGAATGGCCTCTTAATCATTCCACCACTTTTGGTTAATGCGGATGCGATCTATTGAGTGTAACCCCAAAGAACTAAGAAAAAGAAGGTGATCAGTGAGCTCAGTTGGAAGCCTAAGCCATGAAGGTAGGAACAAAGTGACTCACTTTTTTAAAGTTTAAGAGATATGAGACTTCACGAGCCACTTATTTCTTTGAAACCTAAGTCTAGTCGAGCCACTATTCTTGTTTTGATATCAATTATTATTTTTTTTTTCTAATCCCGGCCATTGTAGCACGTGTGTCACCCAGGGCATAAGGGGCATGATGACTTGACGTCATCCTCACCTTCTTTCGGCTTATCACCGACAGTATGCTCAGGGTTCCAACCTCACCTGTGTCTGCGTTCCCAAAGGCACCCCTCTCTTTCAAGAGGATTCGCACCATGTTAAGCCCTAGTAAGGTTCTTTGTTTTGCATCGAATTAAACCACATGCTCCACCACTTGTGCACGCCCGTCAATTTTTTTGAGTTTCATTCTTGCCAAACCTAATATATATTTATATAATAATTGAGTTTGAATTGAAATTAATAAATATTTAAATGTAAAATATTAATTAAAAGTGAATTTTATTCAATTTTAGTCTTATATATATATATATTTTTTTTCAAATTTAATTATTGTTGCGAGAGCTTTTAATTTTTTTAAAAAAATTAGTAACAATAATTTTCGAATAAAAAACATTTATGAATTTCCGATATCCAAATTATTAATTTATTTGGTTTAAAAAAAAAAAAAAACAATTTCGCTCATCCCCGTACTTCACATTTGCTTAGGGTTTTGGGACGCTGATTGTTCCTCCATTTTTCTGCTGAGTTCATTTCTGTTTTCCATCTTCATCTCCTAAGCATTCTAAAAGATTCAGTCTCAGAAGCTTCGTTCCGATTCAATGGCGTCGATGCTTCAAAAGCTTGTCAGAAAATCGTCACCAACTAGACTAATTGCTGCTTTGGGTACCCAGACCTCACAAAATCCCTTAAAACCCTACATTCTTCACCAGCCGCTTGATTTTGATAAGAAACCAGATCGGCATTGTGATTCTAATTTGAACTCTGTTTCTACTTCGGATCTATCTCACTTTCCCCTGTTTTACCCTAGTTTTCCATTTGGGTTTTGCTTGCCACAAATCTCCTCATCTGGGATGCTTCCGTTCGAGCCCGATTTTGTTGAACAAGATGATTCTAGGAAATTGTGGGCTGATAGCGTGAAGAAGAAGAGGAAACGGAAGATGAACAAGCATAAGTACAAGAAGCTTAGGAAGCGGCTCCGAAGACAGACTTAGTTGCTTTATTTGGTAAGACTATATATTTTTATAGTCTTGTAGAATGGGCTATAAGAATTTCATTTGATATTGTGCTCTAGAGGCAAATTCTTGGAGATTTTTGTTTCAAGCTCAAGATTTTTACAGAACAGATTTGCCTTTTATTTTCCGGAATAAGTTTGGAATTGTTCTGTTAACCAAACGATTCATATGAGTAAAATAGTGATGATACATTGTTGGTAGGGTTATATTGCAGATTTTGTTTTCTGTTTGCTTCTCTTCTAAAATTGGTACTGATGTAAGATGAAGGGTTGCTATCTAGCTTATTCCCCATTGAATCTCTGTAATGCCTAAATTTTCTGCTTATACCATTAAACACTGTGGTCTTGAATTATCAAGCTGCTCTTTTGCTGGTAATCAAATGGTGGTAATATATTCTTTTTCTGTACGTTATCATCTATTAATCTATGAGCCTACAGATGGCTTCTTCTTGTGCATGTTTATAAGTTTGCTCACTCAGAAAATTCAAAGAAATAGAATTCTTTTGAACTGGCTTTATACTCTTTGATTGGCGGTTTGGAGAGGGGTGGTGCTGGAATATTGATATATCCTTGAGAATTTTATTTTTATTTTGACAAGGACAGCGTTATTGAAACTTTAGGCCATGCAGATCTTCCACTGAAAACTGACATATCTTCTGATGTTGGACTTCTCTTTTTGGACTAGTACCTTTAGTCTCTCATCCTACTTCTACCTCAGCGCTAACCACCCTCCCCCGAACGAAAAAAAGAGGATTGCATTTGGAGCTTCGTATTTTAACTGTAGTTCCTTTTTCATTGGGATCTTGGAAGTGATTACATAGGCATAGCTCAGAACGCAATGAATACGAATGGATATACCCTAATTGGTTTGCACTGTCATGAGTTAGTATGTATGCAACGTGTAACAGTTTGTTCCATTTGTTCTTTGATAGGTAAATATGACTTTAGTTTATTCTTCTAGCAGCGCACTCTGATTGGCATTCATATTGAGTTGTCTTCAATTTAACTTGTCTAGAATCATATTTCTCATAAGAAAAAAAAAAAAAAAAAAAACTGTCTAGAATATAGATATTGAAATTTTGCAGTAGTTGAAAATTTTCCCGATGGATACTCACCACTTAGACTCGAAAAGTTGATGGGTGAAAACACATTAGGCAACCTTCTAGTACAAAACGTTTCTTCACAGGCTGGAAAAGGATGTGATAATGTAGGAAGATGCACTTCCATTGTAGCTTGTTAATCGAGGTAGCATACATATACCACAATGACCTGATATGAACTTTGAAATTGAGTCATAAGCTTGAGAATTCGGTAAATCATTGCTTCACAGGTTGGGTAGAAGCCGTGATGATATAGGAAGTTGCACATCCCTTGTAAACTGATACTTATTAGTTGAGATTAGCACAAGTGGACTTCAATGTGATTAACCATGTACATTAATTTTGAAATCGAGGCAAAAACTCAGGAATGCTTGGAACCAATTATTGGTGTTGGGAGTGTATTGATGTAATAATTGACAGGAGGTGACAACAATTACCAATTATGCTTTGTTTTTCTATCTGCTGCTGTGACATATATATGAAAGGTTTCTTTTCCAGAATGTATTGTCATTCTTGTTTGACGTAATTGAAGAGGGCTTGTCCCAATCACTAAGCTGTGAAGTAGACCATATACTTGCCACCTCCTTCTTTTGATGCTATACCACTTGACAACTTCCTTGTCTTCTCATACATGTTAGGCTAGAAAATTGTTTGGTTTGAACTAAACTAATATAGCTGCTAAACCCGATCATCGATGTACTCGATGTATTTTGTAAACCCTGAACCTTCAGAACCAAGCAGAGAAATCTGTGAGGCACAAAGTCCAGATTCTCTGCCATTGATAGGGGACATGTCTCATCATCCCATCACTACAACAAAAAAGGAGAGGTAGAATCACAGAGACCCACAACTTCTTTTCTTTACATAAAACATGGACCCCCACTTCCTTTTTTTCTGCCTGTAGCTTCATTTCTACTTCCTAGTGATTTTTCCTTTATATTTAGTTGTTATTTAGTCATTTTCAAACACAAGAGGTTGATGCTTGCTTTATGATCTTGATTTGAAGCTTTTCTCCTTAATTTTGGGCCCATGTAGTGTGGCTGATATCATGATTCATGACATGTTTGGATTAATCTTTTTTCTTCTTGAAATACTTTTTGTGGGGTCTGGAAACATAAACATGTTTGAATTTCCGGAAATCAATGTTTGTGATTAGTTTTGACTAAATTTCCATCTACTACATGCATATATCATGATCGTCGAAGCCTTTTTATGGCGTGATTTGAGTTTGAAAAATTTAGCTGGTAAACGTTCTTTATCTCTATGATTTGGATAGAGTAAATAATCATTCCCTTCCCATATGCCTATTGTGAATTGCTTTCTTCACTTTAATTGAGAATGATTTTTACCCTTTGCAGCAATTGATCAGGATGGAGCTTATGGGACCTCAGAGGTCAGGAAGAGTTCTTTTTCCACCTCTTCATCGACGAATCGATATGTTCGTGTATTTGCCTAATCGAACAATTCTTAACCATTTGAATTTGTTAAGCTTGAAATGGAAAGACATGTTTTTTGTAACGATTTCCCTTGGAGAGGAGAATAATTGTAGTAAAAATTTTGTATCAATGTTAAAAATAAATTATAGGGAATATACCAAAAAAAGGAGGGAAAAAAGAGAATTAGAAGAGAAAAATGGGAAATGCTCTTCATTCAACAGTGTTTATGAATGTTGTATCCCACTTGATCCTTGAATGCATAATTTCTAGAAGTGTTTATGATTTCTTTTCATTAGCTACTAATATTGATTCATTCAGTAGCGGTTAAATCACTACTTGTGTATAGTTTTATAAATAAGTTCGATTTCAACTTAGCTATTCTCAAATTGTCTATGATACTTCTGTATGACTTTATAAATAAGTTGATTTCAACTTAACTATTCTCAAATTATCTATAAAAAAAGGATTAAAATCCTCGATTATACGTCAGATATATTAGTTAATCAGTTAATCCGGGGGTTTATATAATATCAATGGATGGTCAAATTTTTTGATATCATTAAAAATAGCTTCTCTGTAAATTCCAGCTCTGCCCTTCTCTCTCTCTCTATTCATTGATTGTACAGTATATTTTAGTATATTGAATGATTAATTTGATCTTGAATTAAATAATGAGTACCAGATGAAAGAGGAAGAACATGAGAGCCATGATATGGTTGGAGCCAAATGGCAATGCCCATTTCTTGACCAAATTAAGCATCAGCAGAGAGCTCTGCGTCCTCCATTATTCCCTTTCACTCAGAGTACAGAATTCTGACTCTTCAAATAATTCAACCTCCACACCATTCTCTGAGCTCTGGTCCACCGTTCCACCCCCCTCCTCCTCGCTCTAAACCATGGGAGAGAAGCCTTGATTCTTTCAAGAATGTAGTTACCGGATGAACATCCTCTGTACTTTTTTTCCACTGTCTCTAAAAGAATCGAATCGTCTGGAAAAAGGAAAACAAAGGGTTGTTGACCAAATGAGTCTTGGAAATTCGATTTGATCAGTCGTTTTTTCAGTGTAGAATCTGAACATTTTTCTGGGTTTTGAGCCGGCGGCGATATGGGCGGCGTTACCTCATCCATGGCGGCCAAGTTCGCCTTCTTCCCGCCGAACCCACCTTCGTACAAGCTCATCATCGATGATCTTACTGGCCTTTTGCTTCTCAGCCCTTTCCCTCATCGCGAAAATGTTGAAGTTCTGAAACTGCCCACTCGCCGGAGCACTGATATCGTTGCAATCTATGTCCGGCATCCGATGGCAACTTCGACTCTGCTTTATTCTCATGGCAACGCCGCCGATCTGGGCCAAATGTATGAGCTCTTCATCGAGCTTAGCATTCACCTGCGTGTTAATCTAATGGGGTACTTTCTTTTCCCCATTTCTTAAACATTTGGATTCATACTTCTTTCTTTCTGTTCTCTCTTTTTTGATATCTGGTTATCTCTGTTTAAGCCCTTTGATCTTCTCAATTGATGCTTTTGATTGCTAGCATTTTGTATAACTTAAGAGATGTAGTAGGAGGGTGTAATTCTCATAGAACTTTTTGTTGTTGCTAGGTTTCCTTGTAGAATTTGATTCACTTCTTTAGCATCGACTTGTGGAGCTTAAGTTCTGTTTCAACTTTTTGTGAGTTATATTTTGGTAGATCTTCCATATTTGTGGGCATCATCTTCCCTATGTTCGTTTCAGTTTATGAACATATCATCCTTATAAATCAAAGTTCCAGAGCTATATTTTTGGCCAATTTAGATTCTGAGAAATATGGTATGCATCTTAATCAATAAAATCTTAAGCAGGCCATAGCAATGACACCCTTTGCCTCATGGAATTTGTTAATTCGTAGGTTATTTCAAGCACGGGTAGGAAATGATGTGAATCCCATGCTCATCTTTTGATTTTCCGACTTTTAAAGCTCATGAAGCTCGTGTTCTTGTTCAATGGAAGTTCTCGATCTTGTCATGTCTACGCAATCTAACATTATCCTGAAACAATAAGAAGCAACTGTTCCTGATACCACTGCCTTTTACTCCTTGCAGGTACGATTATTCGGGTTACGGTCAATCATCAGGAAAGGTGTGTTGGATTTTCCTTCTGATGAAAGAACAACACTGTATTCTATATCAATGCAATGATAGGATCTTTTCAAGTCTCATTTGTGACCTGTTATTGTGTTGCAGCCATCTGAGCAAAATACATATGCAGATATTGAGGCTGCATACAAGTGTCTTGAAGAAAGCTATGGAACCAAGCAGGAAGACATCATCCTATATGGTCAATCTGTTGGGAGTGGTCCGACTTTGGATCTTGCAGCCCGACTTCCTCGGCTAAGAGCTGCCGTTTTGCACAGTCCAATACTTTCTGGCCTAAGAGTCATGTATCCTGTGAAACGCTCTTACTGGTTCGATATCTATAAGGTAAGATTGTGTTTTTGATTTATTGGTTTTCATATCCATGCCATGTGTAGTAAATGGCCTTTGTTTTTTGGTCTATGTGCAGAATATCGACAAAGTTTCGCAGGTTAATTGCCCTATTCTCATCATTCATGTAAGGATGGTCTTCAACCTATTTCCTCTTCATGGTTTTGTACATTGTTATTTAACATATGAGTTATGGATATGATTATGCATCAATGTGACACAGCTTTGAATGTGTCGAGTATTTTGGTTCTTTCTACCTTCCTTAGTGTCATTAGGTACTCTTTCTACCTTCCTTAGTGTCATTAGGAGTTCAGTAATATTGTCTGTAACAGCCCAAGCCCACCGCTAGCAGACATTGTCCTCTATGGGTTTTCCCTTGAGGGGGAGGTGTGACACAGTTTTGAATGTGTTAAGTATTTTGGTTCTTTCTATCTTCCTTAGTGTCATTAGGAGTTCGGTAATATTGTCTGTAACAGCCCAAGCTCACTGCTAGCAGATATTGTCCTCTTTGGACTTTCCATTCCGGGCTTCCCCTCAAGGTTTTAAAACGCGTCAGCTAGGGAGAGGTTTCTACACCCTTATAAAGAATGTTTCGTTTCCCTCTTCAACCAATGTGAGATCTCACATTGTTAGTCTGCTCTACTGCTATGAGTAGAAGAAGAGGAAGTATCATCTTGTCAGTTTTGGTTCGGTTTTTAGAATTGTATGCCTTGAAAACATCAACAAAATTAACCGAGTCTATCGACCAACATTTTTTGTTTATCCATATAATGAAATGAACCACATTATCAAACCATTGACTTTTGCATACAATTAGTATGAAAGAATCCTGGAAATTATCAAGATTAAGGGATTTTTACATCATTTTGCAGGGAACTTCAGATGATGTGGTTGATTGCTCTCATGGCAAGCAACTTTGGGAACTTTGTAAAGAAAAATATGAACCATTGTGGCTAAAAGGAGGAAACCACTGTAATCTGGAGCTCTATCCTGAGTATATCAGACATCTAAAGAAGTTTGTATTAACAGTTGAGAAACCGCCTTCTCAACGATACAATACTAGAATGAGTACAGACCAATATGAGCAGCCACGAAAGAGCACCGAGTTTTTCGAGATTCCAAGGAAGAGCACGGATAGGAGAGAAAAACCGAGGCGGAGCATGGATCAACCAGAGAAGCTGAAGAATCACTCTGATAAGTTAGACAAGTTTAGACTCTCCTTTAACCATGGGGAAAGGTCTCGCAGGAGCGTTGATTGTCATGAAAAGTCACGGAAAAGCATCGATCACCAGCTGGAAAGAGCAAGAAAAAGTGTTGATCGGCTCGATAGAATACGAACCGGGTAGTTCTTACTATAGATAGATTGAAAGATTCAAGGAATTGGGTGTGCATTTGCTGGGAAAAGGTTCCTTTAGTTTTGATTTCTCATAACTTATTCTCTGCTGGGTGCTGCTGTGTTGTTTGGCTGGTCACGGCCTATTATATATAAACTTGATGCATCAGCTTTCCACAACTTTGTTTGAGCTTTGTTCCCAATATATAAACGTAACCAAAAGGAAGCCCTTTCATTTACCATTGTCATAGGCTAGGAAGACCCGACAGGCTCGATGAGTGTTCGAGTTGGAGGAAGCTCCAACCATGATCAATGCCTTAGATTCGGCCCTTTCATTTACCACTGTCATAGGCTAGGAAAACCCAACAGGCTCAACGAGTGTTCGAGGCGGAGGAAGCTCCAACCATGATCAAAGCCTTAGATTCGGCCCTTAGGATTTCCAGTACCTTCCCTTGACATGGAGCTAAAAGAGCTAACTGTAGACGACCAAAGGTGTCGGTAACGAATGAAAGAGCTACTACTAACACCAACCAACCAACATGATAGAGGCTATATTGACAACACATGAGTGAAAGAAACAAAGTACCATGTATCGTGTCAGTTCTTTCGATATCGAATACGAGTACTCATTATCTTGTATGATTTGATTGTAGGTGACAAATACAGGAATCCAAAATGTAGGGATGATTATTATAGAGACGCCATAGTCAAAGGTTGACGACAACGACGATGAACAATTGTTTATGTAATCCGAAAAGGTGTTGAGAGCTAAAGACATGTTGGCTTTTGGAAGATGGGAAGAACAAGAAAAAGGGAGCATGCACAGTGACACAATCGCACTTTTGAAGGCAGCGGACTAGTGATTGTGCAGCACTCACTTTCCAACGACAAGTGAACTAAGCTAATTTGTTCTTGCGTCACCTACGGCCAAGCGACGTATGATCGAGCCTCTAGCCTCGATTTTAAAAGAAAGTTTTAGAAAACGAGAGTAGAGAGAGATTTTAGAAAGAGACGTTATATAAGCAAGCAAGAGAGAGATAACAACGGCTTAGCATATATAACCTTGGGTAAGAAGAAGTTGACAACTAGTCATATTCCCTATACTACATTCTGAGGCATTTTCATGTCTGTTAGGCCTAGACATGATATTTTTGAGGCGTCATACGCCCTAAAACTACAAAAGTAAAAATACTAGAATGAAAAGACATGACAAGGGTTTGGCTTGCCATGGACAACACGTCCTGAACGAGCATGACCGTGACACGCAGCTCAGTGTGAGTGTGACATGAAGAAGGCTCTGCATTGGCAGCAAATGGGAGGTGAGGATTTGACTTTCTGTCTTTTTCAAACTTTTCTTCTGCACAATCTGTGTTGTGATGTCTGGTCTCCTAACACAACATTTTGAAATGCTTTCAAAGTTTGTCCCTTTTTTGGCTGTCTGTTTGACCTTCTACTTCTTCCCCCACCATTTGCTCAATCGTCTTCTCGACTTTCAAATCGTTGTTCGGTTTGTTTCAACGAGAGCTTTGTAATATCTCTGAACTTCTAACTTCGTAGCCGAGGATATATACCTTAATCAAACTCCACTATCGTAAAAATTTTAATTTTGAATTTCAAAATTAATTTAAAGGATAACTCGCTCGATTTTAAGAAATTTACATTTTTGTCCATGGCCTAACCGATCAAAACCCAATATAGACGTGATTTTATAAATTTTTCCTGCAATAATATATTAAATTTAAAAGAAAAAATATTTAATTTTGTGACTTCTATGAATTACCAAATTAATATTTTTATTTCTTTTGATTATTTAATTCTATGAATTACCAAATTTAAAAAATACTGTATTAGTAAATATTTGTTTAGAAAATTATATTGTAATTAAATTTAAGGAAAAAAAAATACATGTGTATTTGAATTTTAAAATAAAAATAAATTTGTTATCAAATATTAATCTTATTAAATAATAAATTTATAAAAAAATTAAATATTACATAATTTAGTTGTGTTTCATCCTTGTTATATTAATAATATTATTAAGATAAGATAAGATAACTTTATCCATATATTATAAATTCTTTCGATCATGAACGTTATCTTATCTTATTATATGTCAACCACATATTATTTAAGATTACATTAATAATCTTGATTTTTTTCTTAAAAATTAAATAATTAATTGAAAAATTTTAAGACATAAATTATAACACGTCCATATTGGTTGAGACATGAACCCTCTCAAAGTCATTTTTGCATACTGTGTCCAAACTCGATCCTATATTTCAACCTCTGACTCAAGGAATGAGGCATGATATCGGTACACTCAGTCATCCGATATTGTCCTTAGAAACAGATTCCCAAAGAAAAGACACCCAAAACATCTGTCCTGCCATTGATATTGTGAATGATTTTCAAAATAATTTTAATAATTTTTTTATTCAAAATAATTGGAAACAACAATAATTTAACCTTAAAAAACCTGTTTTTTTTTTTTTTTTTTTGACCAAATAATTTACCTTAATCATTGAAAACATTCAAAAATAAATAAATAAAATAAAATAAAATAAAATAAATCTTACCCACAAGTCTATTTTGTTATTTTCTTTTAATAGATATTGATAAAAGTCCTTAAACTATGTCAAACTCTAATTTTATATCTTTCAAATCTCACCATTCATTTTCCCTCTCTTCTTTCTCTCTCCTCTTTTTTTACCTTCTATATAATCTCTCACTCTCCATTTTCGTTTTCATCCTTCCCTTTCTCTACCTCAGAGAAAATTACTGCCATAGAAAATTACTGTCCTCTCCAAGTAATTTTACTATGGCTTCTCAATCTGTTCTTGTTTTTGCTCTGATCTTCGTCGCCGCCGTCGCCGGAGCTTTTGCCGAGGCACCCACTGCCTCCCCTTCGGAATCCCCCGCGCCGAAATCCGCGCCTTCTGACTCCGAAGCGTCATCTCCATCTTCCTCTCCAGCCGATACTCCGGCGGACACACCGGCAGATACTCCGGCGGAAACGCCGGCAGATACACCGGCGGACACACCGGCAGATACTCCGGCGGATACACCGGCAGATACTCCGGCAGATACTCCGGCAGATACACCGGCGGATACACCGGCAGATACACCGGCAGATACCCCGGCAGATACTCCCGCGGACACTCCGGCGGCTTCATCTGAGTCGTCGCCATCCCCGGCAGCCTCTGCTCCGACTTCGCCCTCTGAGGCTCCGGCGAGTAACTCACCCGACAGCTCCCCGGATTCCTCCCCCTCCGTTTCTCCTTCTCCAGACACCGACTCACCAGCTGCGTCTCCCGCCGACTCCGGCTCCCCCGCTGCCTCGCCTGATTCCGATTCGTCTTCTCCCCCCTCTCCCACCCCCGACGCCGCCGATAGCCCCGTTGCTGATGGCCCTTCAGAGGTTGATGGCCCCACCTCTGATTCTCCGGCTGATGCGCCCGACGGTGATGCAGACAGCGGCACTTCTTCTCTGAAACTCACCTCCGCCGCCGTCTGTGGTGCCGTTGCCGTCGCCGTCGCCGGACTCTTTGCATTCTGAAGCTAGCTTAAATAAGCATTTAATCTTTTTCATCCATATAATTGACAATAAAAAATTGAAGAATGTGTAACTAATTATCGGGAAGAAAAAAGAATTAAATTATAATTAAAATTGATAATTTTGGTCGTTGTAATATTTTATTTTTTTTTTTTTTTTTATAGAAAAATCTCATTTTTGAAGAGAAAAATACATATTACGTTACTGATTTATTATTCCATCATAATTATCTAATTAAATAATAGTATGAAAATATCCTCCCTCACATATATCTCTATTTTCGTTTATTTAAAAGTTATACAATTGTTTTTCTTTATTTTAAACTTATTATTATTATTTTTTCTCTCTATATATTACTTTGTAAGTAAATAAATAATTAATTTTTTAATATTAAATTTTAAAATTTTAGAAATTATGTTAATCACTATATTATATTTTTATTTATAAAATATCATCAAATTTATTAAATTAAAAAATATAATTTTTAGCCACTAGTTTATCTCTCCATCGAATCAAATTAGCCAAAGGTGTGCGTTCGTGAGCCCACCCTAAAGTTTCAATCAAGCAATTGTCAATATCTACTCCAAGAAATTAAGAACATACGCATAAACTATTCATACCAAAAGGATTATATCCATTGATAAGTTGTGAAGAGTTTAACCATCCCATCAAATAAGTGGAAGATTCATTAAACTGTGAAATGTTACCCTGCCATAATGTGATGCTTTCAGTGTCAATAAAAAGTAACCCATCAATGGTATTTAACATCCAGAAAACGGCCAAATAAAAGGCGTATCCAGTGCCCATAAAAAGTAACCCATCCAATGGTATTTAACATCCAGAAAACGGCCAAATAAAAGGCGTCCCAAGCCGAAATATCAACGGGAATTTTTCTTGTTGCTCGGCTTCTTCCGCTTTTTATAGTAATATCTTACATCATGAATCTAATAGCTTTTATAGGTATAATAACAGTACTATTTGGAGCTAATTTAATGACATTAAGAGAAGTTTAGCCTATTCTACAATGTCTCAATTGGGTTATATGATGTTAGCTTTGGGTATAGGGTCTTATCGAGCTGTTTTATTTCATTTGATTACTCATGCTTATTCAAAAGCTTTAACAAAGTCAGAATATGATGTTAGTTATTCCATTGATAGGTTGTTGGATATTCTCCGGATAAAAGTCAGAATATGGTTCTTATGAGGGTTTAATAAAGCATGTGCCAATTACAAAAAATGCTTTTTTATTAGGTACCCTTTCTCCAGATAAAAGTCTGTGTGAAGTTTGAAGTAAAAATTGATAAAAATATTACGGCTAAAAAATTTAATATATATAATAAAAAAAATGTTGAAAATCTTTAATATTTTATTTTATTTAAAATAGCTTAACCAATAAAAATATCCTCAAACGTTTAATATTTAAAAAATATTCTTTAACGGTACAAAAATTGATTAATACCCTCCATTTAAAAAAAAAAATAAAAAATAAGTACAATATTTAAAAAAATATTTATGAAATTTGAAAAAAAATTACTACAAATATTTAAAAAATATTTATGAAATTTGAAAATGGCATTAATATTTACCCTTATTAAAAAAAAATTACCTTTGGAGTATTTATGTTAGTATGTTAGTGTTACTCTTAATTCCATTTTTATCTCTGCAACATTTTACCTCATAAAAAAATTATTTTTTTACACGAGGAACTAATATATTGGTATTTTTTAATTTCTTTAAAAAAAAACTTAAAGTTATTTTTGATTTTTTTTTAAAAAAAATTAAGAGTATTAATGAAAATTTTTCAAAACTTTACGTGTATCTTAAGGATATTTTTAAAATCGAGGTATTTTTTAAACAAAGTATTACGGATTTTCATCCAAAACTAACCTGCATTTTTTAATTTTTTTTTAAAGCGGGTATTTTTTAGAAAATTTTTTTTTAAAATATTATTGAAACTTTAAAAAAAATGGAATATTTTTTTAAATGATATTTTTATTAATTTAGCTAATTTTTTTTAAACACTTATAAGAGATAAAAAGGGTATTTTTTTAAAATTTATAGTTGTTTTTTAAACCATTTCAAGGTTTGAGTATTTCTTTTTTTAGTTTAAAGAATATTATTGATAAATTAATGTATTATTGATTTTTTTTTTTTTTTGAATTAAGTTAATTTTTTTTTTTTTTTTTTTTTTTTTTTTTTAA